GCATAATTTATCAATTATAAATTAATAATTCTTATATCATTCAATTTATTTTGGTAAGATGAATCGAATGGTGTATAAAACATTTGATTCTGATTAGCAGAATGCAAAATATTCTTACAAATACCTTTAATTTTATATAGAGAGAGCATACTGTAGCTGATCATTATCATGTATATATATAACTATTACTTATTTAAATATTAAATTCAATTATTTCATTATTAATAATTCTATTAATTTTTAAACTCTTAAGCATTTTATTTGTTTATAAAATACTTTGACAAAAGAATATTTGGTTGTTTGAACCATATCTTTAGGTTTTTTTTTTTTTTTTTTATAACTAGCCTCTTTGGTGTAAGAGTTTTTATTTAAGTATAATGGATAAAAAGCTCACAATGGAACCCAATTACATTAGAGAATACAACTAGCCACATGTGCGCCTTTTGAGTGCCTATTTAAGTAGTCCATATATAGATAACTGTATACCATAGGTTTTAAACTAGCTGCCATACCTATAACCCAACTAGGGGATTACTTATTTAAACCCTCTGTAACATACACTGCCCTCTTGTATTACCAGAACACTCTGTTATATTTGTTAGTCAAAAGTTCCAGATGTGTACTGTAGCCTTAGAACTAATTTATCTTCGAAACATCATTGCTAGAGCTTTCTGTATCTACAATCTAGCTAACCTAGATTTTCAGTAACTTATACCAAGTTTGAGAACAAGTACTTGCGAGCCAAAGCCGCTACCATTATCTACTTCTGCCTTTGTAGAGTTCACCCAAACCCCAGCACCCACTTTACAGACCGTTTACTATTTCACCGATCCCCAAACTCCCAATTCAGATAGCCTAGAAGGGCAGACCCTTCCTCGAAATACATCGACGACCTGGTTGGTATGGTGCCTTGCTGAACACCTTGGTCCTGTTCAGTTTTCGGATCTTCAGTAATAATCCTTTACATAATGCCATCAAAGATCTGTGCTATCTCTTTACTCTGGACTTGTCAAGCAGGATTTCATGTATCTCAGCCCTTAGATTTACACAAACACTTTACTCAGATTTCATGTAACTCTTGCATTACACTATAGTTCTATATTCTTCCAGTACAAGCTGATACAACCAAAGCTACAGATCTGATGATTCATCAGATTATACACAGTCTGCTGTAATACATTTTGTAAAATTTGAATTTCATTGCCAGTGAGATTTGAACTCTTGTCCTGCCGCTTGAGAGTGTGACAACTTACCAACTTTACTAAGTCACTACACCCTATTTTTTGATTTGTTAAATCTGTTATAACTTATAATAGCTACAAGATTTATACTCATTATAATAGAGCCAAATTGTCTGAACCATCACAATTGAATGATGTAGTATGAGTTATAAGCTTATATTTAAATTTAAATAATAGATTTAATCTATTTGAAAGTAATGATTTTGAATTAGAAGAAAAATATTATATTTCAAAAGATTTGAATATTTTGAAGTAGAAGGAGGAAATATATTAGCAAATTAGAAAGAGACAAATAATAATGTAATTAATAATTATTTTTTATAGGAAAAGCACTAATGAATATATTTGAAAGAACTTCAAGCTGACTAAAATAGATAATTGAATAAAATAGAGCTTTGAACAAAAGCGAATAGTCAAATTAGAAAAAAATAAATAAATTATCTAAACTTAGTAAGCTTAGAGTTTTTTAAGCAAACAGATAATTGAATAAAATAAAGCTTTGAACAAAGCAAATAGCCAAATTAAAAAAAAAAATAATAAATCATCTAAACTTAGTGAGCTTAGAGTTTTTTAAGCAAATAGATAATTGAATAAAATAAAGCTTTGAACAAAAGTGAATGGCCAAATTAGAACCAAAAATAAATAAGTTTATACTTAGTGAACTTAGAGTTTTTCAAGCAAATAAATAATTGAGCTTTAAACAAAAGCGAATAATCAAATTAAAAAAAAACAAATAAATCGTCTAAACTTAGTGAGCTTAGAGTTTTTTTAAACAAAACTAAATTACAAATCAAGAATAATGATATCACTTGTCTTTTCAAACTTCTTGATATTGATATCGCATAATCGTTCATAATCATTTTAAACAAAAACTAAATTACAAATTGAGTAATAATGATATCATTTGTCTTTTTAAACTTGATATTAATATTGCATAATCCTTTGTAATTGTAATTATTATTTAATAGTATTATTTATCTAACTTTTGTATAATTTTTCAATATTATAGTTAAATAATTGTTTGTAACTTAAGTTTATCGACACTAAAGTTTATTTAAATAGATCTTTTTTTAATTACAATAAAATTCAAAATTTCAAATAACCATTGATTAAATAAAAAAATGTTTACTCAATCTAATTTTAAATCAGCAAAAACTAAAGCTAAAAAAAATAAATACCTTAAGGTTAAAAAAATAAATCTACCAAATCAAAAATCCAAAAATTGGCTAAACTATTGAACAAAATGCTATTAAAAATGCTTTTGAAATGTTTAATAGTCCTAATCATCCTAGTATTTGTAAAATTGCTCAAAGATATAGTATTGCTAAAACAATCTTTAGATATGCAATTAAAAAAAGACTGCCCAAATGACCTGGTTGTAAAACTATTTTAAATGCTTACGAAGAAGAACAATTAGTTAGTTATTGTAAAAATATGCAAAAAGTTAGGTTTTGGATTAAATAGATTAGAAGTAAATAACTGTATTATAGAGATTATGTATAATAACAAACGTAACTACCCATTTTCTTCTAAAGAACCTGGTAAAGCTTAGTGGTTATGTTTTATGAAAGATCACCTGGATCTATTTTTTTATGTGCCTCAGGCCTTATCGGAGGCATGCACTCAAAGAGCTAACCTAATAATTATAGATAATTATTTCAAAAAGCTTCACAAAATAATTCAGGAGAACTCACTTGCCTCAGACCATATTTTGAACATAGATGAGATTGGTTTTGTACTCTCTCTAACAATTCAAAAAGTTATTACTAAAAAAGATGCTCAGCAGATTTATAAAATTTCACATAGTAATACAACTGATTATATTTCTGTTGCACCAACAATTTCTGCTGCTGGCCAATATATTCCTCTATTAATAATATATAAAGGAGTTCATGTAATTCCAGATAAACAAAAAAATTTTTTTTTCAAAAATTAATCACTATATTTTTTATGAAATAATGCTTCCTGTGCACGGTTCTGTTCATTTCATCAACAATCAGTTCACCGACAGTACGATTTACCTACATTCAATTCACTGAAAAGTTTATTTTACTGACAGTATGATTTACTGACAAAGAAATTCTGGTCATTGTCATTAGAGTCAGACTAGAATTAGAGTTAAAGTTAGTAAAATTTATAAAAAAAAAACTTGTCTGAATTGAATGTTGATAAATTGTATTGTCAGTAAATTGATTTTTAGTAAAAATGAACTGAATCCCTCCTGTGTGTTATTTCGCAAAAATACAATAAGTATTAGCTTATAAAATTTTGACCTGTTTTTTGTTATTCTAATTTTAGAATTATTAGAAGAAGCTCTAGCAGATAGTGTTATGGGTTTACTGACTCTGGATACATGAAAAAAAAACTTTTTCAGATGTATATCAAACATTTCATTAATTCTATACCACCTTCTCGCCCAGTCCTTTTAATACTTAATAATCATAAAAACTATATTAACTAAGTGTTAATTTTTGCTATGAAAATGGAATCTTGCTGTATTCTCTTCCACTTCATACTATGCATATTCTCCAGCTCTTAGAAATTCCTTTTGCCAAACTTAAAAATGAATATAATAAAGAATGTGATGAACTTCATATAAAAAGTGGTAAAATGGTAACTAAACATACTTTTGCCAAAGTGCTTGGATTAATATTTGTTGCAATATATACTACCACAGCAATTGCCAATTCATTCAAAGCCACAGGAATCTGGTCCTTTAATTCTAATGTGATTAATCCTAATCGGCTTAATCCTTTATTAACTACTAAACTTGACTTACCAATATCTCAACAAATTAACCAAACCAATGATATATCTTCAGTATCAGAATTATTACAACTAACTATCATTTACTCTACTTCCCAATTAACCAATACTTATTTTACTTCCTGCCTAACCAACACTTACCCTACTTTCTAACCAACCAATACTTACTCTACATTAGAAGAGGAGGTTGCATCTCTTAAAAAAGAAGTTAATCAGCTCAAAAAAGAAAGTGCATTATTAAAAAGAAATAATTCATTAATATATAAAAAGCTTGAAACTTATAAAAATTCTGGTACCTGCTTGCTTAAGCTTGTGTTCAAATATCCTATTCAACTTCCACAAAGCACTGAACCAGAGGCTGGAGACACTTCTGCTCAACCGCAAAAAAAATGAAAAACTTTACCATTTGCTTGGCTTTTTATTAATGAAGAATCATTGCAAAAATTAAAATAAGTCGATAAATTAACAAAAAGAAAGTAGAAGCTGCAAAGCAAAAAAAAGAAGAAGCTCTTCATAAAAAGAAGACCACTAACAGAAAAAGGAAGAGGCTCTTCATAAAAAGGAGACACAAAACAAAAAAAAGAAAGCTCTTTGTAAAAAGGAGGCCACAAAACATAAAAAGAAAGAAGCTCTTCATATAAAGGAGGCTGCAAAACAAAAAAATCAAATTGCTCAAAAAAAAGATTAAAGATGATAAATACTTAACAGTTAATAGCTTATGTTTGAATTTTTAGATTTTGATTGGTTATTTATTCATGCTCGTTGATCTGTCGAACTGCCACTTTATCCTCTTCATCGTTGAAGTTACTTCGCACTAATAAAAATTGTACAAATTCAAGTCAACTTGATTTTTTTTTTATATTAAAATCAAATAGATAGATAATTATGGTAATGTGAAATAAAAATTGTAATATGTAGTAAGATTTTAATAAAGTTTTACTATAAGCAAATTTTGATAAATTTTAACTCCGCCAGAATACCTCCCTCCACCTTATGCTGTGTAACTAGCCTAATTTACCAAATTCATTATATGTATGTACGTACATCTGATTGCTTGATGTAAATCAATTGTTCGGGCCGAAATTAAAAAATTTTAAAATCGGTAGAATTGTGGGCCAGATATAAAAACATAGTATAATGCTTTTTTAAAACATTTTATTTTGCGGGCCATGTGGGCTGGCAAAGGCACAATTTTTTAGACCCCTAATTTAGAATATAATTATAAATATTTTCAGGATACAAAATAAGCTAGTCGAATTTAAGTTTGGGTCTAGTTCAGGCTTGTATTTTATCATTTAAACCAGGTTTGTGTTAGACTTACTAAAATATTAGACCAGGTTTGGGATAATTAGGTCATATAGAAAATTATCGTTTGGCTTTCAAATAAGGATTTTTCTACTATATAGTTCATTGCATAAACGTAAATCGGCAGGCTAATTTTAAAATAGAATCCGGCTTTGCCCGATATCCCGGGCTTCGCCTGGGGCCCATATCAGACACTAATGAGCTTTTCCATTTTATTTTCTTTTGATATCTAAAATCGTTTTCTTGAAAGAAAATAGCCCAATAAAGTTAGCCGTTTAAATTCGATTATCGTTAAACGTTACCCCCTTAATCGTATTCTGAATTCCCAAACAGGTGTCTAACTATTTCTAGAATCTAAAACAGCACTAGCATATCAAACAACCAAACTAAATTCTGCATATTTTTTTATTCTATGTACAAAACAATTCTGGTCGAATTTGGTTATGTTGTCGTAATATCGGTTGTGCTATTTTAGATGCTACGTAGAAATAGTTGGGAACTCTGATCTCAAATAAAAAAAAACTACGTAATATATTGGTCGGAATTGATCGGTACAGGATATACTATATTTATTTTTTATGTTTTATTTAGTCTCGCTCATCTCACCGAAAGTCATTTCACCTAAATTTCATTTAGCAGGTATATATTCTTGGTAAATTGTAACGTGGTGTGATGTCGGCTTTGTTTTATCCCCCCGTACAAATCCTAAAAAATAAAGTTCAAAGAAGATTCAATATTAAATGTTCTTAATTGGCGTTAGCTATAATGCTTGCTGATTGTCTTTTTGGGAAAATATTTTTTTCCGGAAAACCATTCGGAAACCACAAAGTTCAATGCAGATCGTTTAAATTGTACCGGTAAAAAAATAAATTCGCAGTTTTATTTGGATAAGATCTACAGGGTTAATTCTTACGTAATCTTAGAGTAATCATTTGTTCAGCAATTCTAATTCGTTCGTAGATGAAGATTAATACTTAGCATGATTCCTAAAATATTAGTTTAATAACATATCATTATGTTTAACTTGGCGTTTAATTTACATGGACATTAATTTTTTTTGTTAAATCATCTAGGTCATTCAGGCGCTTATAGCCTACTTAAATAAATGAATTTAATCCTATTAACAACTCCAACCTTATATCCTAACCCTAAGATTCCAAATTTACTTAATCTCATTCCCACTTATATCAGATATATATATATATATATATATATATATATATATACAGTATATATATATATATATATATATATATATATTAAGATCTCCCTAAATACATATTCCCTGAATGCATAGTCTATGAAAGACCTCTCTAAATGCATAGCCTTATTAGCCCCAACTCATATAACACAGTGATTTTTACCTCCCTAAATGCAAATGCAATACCTTTCTAAATGCAAGATTTTTTAGCCGCCCCTCGGCTATGCATTTAAAGAGATCTGACTGTATAACAAAAATTCTTATCGCGTTGTTGTGAAATGACGCGTCATTTTCAAATTTTACATGAGTGCTGCAAAGCTAAAACCTGCAATTTCGGTTTTTGCCGGCTCCACTTTTCAGAAACAGAGATATCAGATTCGTGATGAATTATAATAAATTCTATAATAAATTCTATTTATAGATCATGTGTCTGGTAAGTCGTTTCTATAAAATTGATTTCGGAAAATTCACAAATGCAGGATTTCCCACATGATACACGAAAATAATTAATTAAATGCAAGTAATATTTTAATAGTGCTGGACTTTTGAAGTACTTTATTATAATTTACTAACAGAAAAAAAAATTGTATGGTTTGATGCTTTTGTCAAGAACTACTAAAACCGTGTACAATATTTCATCTTTTGTCTATAAAAATCTTTTTTCACAATTTAAAATTCAAAACTATTTATAGTATTAAAAAAAATCCGATCACTCTCAAATTCCAATCAATATCTCAAAGATTTTATTAATAATATTACGTAAACAAGTAATACATATTATATACAATATATGTATTTAGAAAATTTTATTGATTCAATTTTTTTTGACGGACTTAAATTTATCCAGGTTTGCAACTAGTTTTTATACTGTGCGATTAGTGTTATACAAGGCCAATTTAATGTCTGGTTAGAAATAGAAACAGCAGGACCAACTGTCGGATTATCCGATAAATGTTAGTTTGAAGACCGTATCGGAGATTAACCCTAATCCTAGAAAAATGCCGTAAATCTTTTTATTATGATGTAGCCATGCTTAAATATTTTTGATAGTAAGAAATGGTTAGCTTATTAATCGCTAGCAGGTATAAAACTCCTGTTTGATCACTTATAATTTTATATTCTTCCCACACTTAATATCCTTCGAATTTACCTTTCTGTTCAAAATGATCGTAAATACATTTTATCAATTAATTGATATAATTAAAAGTAATTTTTTCTCAATCGTATTTTTATTTATCTTTGTTAATATAATCCAATATTACTTCAATTATTTCAATCGACCGTCAAAAATTCCTGGTCCATTACCTTTACCAATTATTGGAAATATACATCAAATTGGAGATGATGTGCCAGCAGCGGCAGAAAAATTTAATAAAAAATATGGTGATTTATACGAATTTTATATGGGAAGTATACGCGTAGTTGTTGTTAGCAAACCTGATTTAGCTGAAAAAATATGGGCTTCTTCGTCTCTCAAAAATACAAAATTTGTTATGCGTAATGGATATTCTGAAGGTATTGTTGAACTTGGTTTAGGTACAAAAGGAATGGTACTCAATCGTGATATTGATGTTTGGAATGTCAATAGAAAATTTATGAATGTTATTTCTTCACCTCCATTCCTACGTGAATCAATCAATTTAACAAGTAAAATGGTTGATCAAATGTTTGAATATTGGAAAGTCATTGAAAAAAAAGGAATGCAAATCGAAGTTTCCCAGTGGATAGATGCTTTGGGAGCAGAAATTGTTTCGACAACTGCAACTGGAAAAGGAATAACAGCAATGACTGAATTATTTAATGAATTGAATATTGAAAATAATAAATCTAAAGTACAAGGAGCTTGGCAAAATGGCGTAAAATTTACTAAAGCAATTCATCTTTATAATGAATCAATGTCATTTATGATGTTATTTCCAACAAAGTTTCGAAGAAATGTCCCTTTAATTAAAGATGTAAATAAAAAGTATTTGGATAATAGAGATTGGATATATCAAGAAATGGATAGAATCGTTTCCGAAAGACAAAAAGAAATTGAAAATACACCTTTGGATCAACCACTTGAGGCAAATATTTTAACTTTATTACTTACAACAAATACGGAAAGAGATTTTGACAAAATTTCTGTCAGTAAATTTGACCGACCTTTAACAAATGATGAAGTAATATCAATATTACGTGAAGTATTTACTGGTGGATTAGATACTACATCCAATTCTTTATCATATCTTCTTTTTTACCTTGCAAAACATCGAGATGTTTACTTGAAAATGAGACAAGAAGTATTGGACGTTTATGGTACACTTGACAATCCAGAATTTACATTGGAATCGTATGGAAAACTCAAGTATATAGAAGCCGTAATCAATGAAGGTATTCGCATTTTCCCTTCAGTATCATGGATGCCTCGTGCCGCAACCGAAGATGTTGAATTTGATGGATTTACAATTAAGGCAGATACAACAGTTTATACAGATTTTAGTGCGTTAAATCATAATCCTAAATACTTTAAAGATCCAGAAATTTTTAATCCTGATAGATTCTTAACTGATAAAGAATCATTTGTTAAATATACCTTTATGCCTTTTGGGAGTGGTTTGCGCGTTTGTCCTGGTCGAATGTGGGCTATAGTTCAAATGAAAACATTTCTTATTAAACTTGTTTGTACATTTGATTTAGATTCGAATGATAAAAATGATAAACCTAAATATTCTTTTCATACCATAAGACGACCTAAAGATATAAACATTTTTATTAAGACTAGAAAAAATTAATTAATTTTATCATTATTTTATCATTATTTTATTACTATCATTATTATTATCAGCATTATTAGCATTATCATCATAATCATTATTATCGTCATTATTAAATATTATCATAAGCGTTAGGCAATACGTATAAAATTTATTAACACATAACCCAACCGGGATATAAATCCATAATGTAAAATTTTATTAATAAAATTTAACGTTAAAAATATATACGTACGTACGTACGTACGTATGTACAATACATATGTATGTGCATTATTAAATATGTATGTAATAATCTTGATTAATGCACAAAATTTCCGAGTAATGTAACCTGCGCGATATATATTTTTTTTTATCAACGAAACGTAAATTTTCCGAATGATGGAAAAGCCGAGCAAGAAATTGGTTTAATTAAATCTCCGACATTTACAATACGTAAGTTTATGCTAATCTTGATACATATTGCGAAAAGGGAAATTTTCACGCATCGTACAGATAACATAGTAGATTGTGTTTTTTTGTATTACAAAGTCCATAAACCACAATAGCTGAGATTTCGCACTTCGAGCCTTTGTTACAACGGAAAGAATTTCGAACCAACAAATAAAGAAAAGTATAAACGATACTTTCCTGGTGCTTTTGTAGAATAATTTAAACAACGATTAGAATAGAAATAATATCTTTTATACCATAATTTCCCTTGTAACGTAATGATGCTTAATCCACAACCTTAAAATAAAACCAACAATAGTACCATTCTTTAAATCCACGCATATACTTATCTTTTGTTAATTATCGATTATGTTGGTTGGCATGGCGAGACTAGCTTATTTTAGTGCCACTATTTGGCGAACTAAAAAAAAAAAAAAAGCAGCTTGCCCAACCACCCTACTCTCGATGCTAGATTTGTGACCCAAGTTTATAATTTATATCCATTCGGTAGTTGGAACGGGGTTTGGGTCAAAAAATCCCGACAATCAAAATCCCGACAATCAAAACCTAATCTTAACCCAAAACTAACCCTTACCCTAACTTAATCAAAAAAAACATGAGTTGACACACATTTTGGTTGGATGAGCATAATATGAAATTGTAGTATTAGAATTTCAATTGTCGGGATTTTTAACTGTCGGGATTTTGACCCACTCCCAGTTGGAACCTATCATAAAATGATTATATAATTGTTATACATACGTACGTACGTACGTACGTATAATGCGGTAATGATAAAAACGTGTTGCTGAGTTTTTTGTTACACTAAAGCACACGCGTGCTTGATAATGTAACTAATGATGACTCTTTTCGATACTATACTAAATAAGTTGTTAAACACTCTAAAGTTAATAATTCGTAAATCAACAAAGGCATTCGTTTTATTGTGCTTTTATCATTTTAGAGGTGCAGATAATAGATCGTAACTAGGTCATCACTTACATAAAAAAATAATTTTTTTTATATCTGATATTGAGATGATTAATTTACGACCTAATTACGACCTTATTACGTAAATATGCCTGCACCTCTAAGAGAAATGTTTATTTCTAATTATATAAAAATAACAGCTTTTATTACATTAAAAAGCGTATTAAAAGAAGAAAAGTTTTTTTTTTCAAAATAACAATATTACTGTATATTACCGTTTGTGTTAAATACTAACGATTACCGGTAGTAGCTTTTTTCGAATTTAGAAACCCTTCAAGTTCTTAATAGTGCCGAATATGAAATCAAAAGCCATGTATTATTGTTTTTCATGTATGTTTTAGAGATTGGAACTGCCTAAAATTTTCTTAATCGTCTAACCGTTTAATTCAGTTGGCATTAAGATAATTCTAGCCATGATAAGCAAACAATTTTTATGCGGCTAAACGTTTCCAATCCTTAATATATTTTAAGCTTAGTTATTTAAAAATTCAATGTTTATTGCTACAAATAAAAAAAGTACTTAAAGTATTCTTGACAAGTATTTTTGTTAGAAGCAAAATCACGAATTTATTAAATCTATTTTGAATTTTAAAGAACTTTTTTTGATGTTAGGAAATAGAACATTAGTTTTCTCATGAAAACAATGTATTATTAATGTTCGAAGCAACTCACTATAGTAATACAAGTATATGTTTCTTTTAAGCTTTGCTATTTATAAAAATCAATTAAAATCAGTGAAACTTAACTCTTATATACAGTACAGTCAACCCTCTCTAAATGCAATCTCTCTAAATGCAACCTCTCTAAATGCAACCTCTCTCTAAATACATAGCATTGTTTGGCCCAACTTATATAATGCTTATAGATTTTTACCTCTCTAAGTGCAAAACTTCCTAAATGCAAGATTTTTTATTGGCCCTCTGGCCTGCATTTAGAAGGGTTGACTGTATTTGGACATGAGCAAAAATATCAAAAAAAAAAAAAAAAACACATAGTTATATTACAATCAATCTTGTAACAATACTAGGGAAACGAAGGATGAAATCTACTTTGCCCAACCAGAAGAGAAATTAAGGTCACAAAGATTGTTAATCTTTACACGATAGAGTGAAACCTGCAAAAAAATACATTGGAAAAAACGAAACCTGAAGTGCTAAAAATATTGCTTTGACGTTAATAACTGTCGCAGATCATAATTTAAAATGAAATCTACATTTTCTATTCAACCTTCTAACCTTCTAAAACCTACTAATACTTGTTTAATATATTTTACTCTAATCCTAACTCCTAATTCTAACCCCGAACCCTAAAAAATATACACCAAAAAAAATTATTTTTCGAGATTTTATATTATTATTTCATTTTAATCTGAATTTCATTTTAATCTGCCACAA